AATAATAGAATACCATTTATTTAAATATTTTTGGATGTTTTCTACATTTTCAAATATATTGATTTCAATTAAAACAGAATACAAAGTGTACAGTGCTCACTTTATATTTATTTTTATTACAAATATTTGCACTGTAAAAAACAAAAGAAAGTATTTTTCAATTCACCTCATGCAACTTCTGGAAGCAAGACAAGATTTAAAAGTTTTGTGTTACATCTGCCTTATGTTATTTTCTTCAATATTCTGGATGTTCATGTTACAGTTTTGATACGCAAATAAACTCTTAGGGTTCTTTTTATTTAAGATCATGGTAGAAGATTGGCAGGGGAATTTCTAAGGCCTTGGCTACACTTGCGAGTTACAGCGCTGTAAAGGCTCCCCCAGCGCTGTAACTCACTCCCCGTCCACACTGGCAAGGCATTTGCAGCGCTGTATCTCCGTGGTTGCAGTGCTGCATGTACTCCACCTCTTCGAGAGGAATAGCGAGTTTTGCGCTGCCGCTGCAGCGCTGCGGCGCCAGTGTGGCCGCCCAATGCGCTGTGAATGGCCTCCAGAATTATTCTGCAGTATCCCACAATGCCTGTTCTAGCCACTCTGGTCATCAGTTCAAACTCTACTGCCCTGGCCTCAGGTAACCAACCATGTGACCCACCCTTTACATTCCCCGGGAATTTTAAAAATCCCCTTCCTGTTTGCTCAGCCCGGCGTGGCGTGGAGTGCTATCAGCGAATCTTTCCAGGTGACCATGCCTCCACACGCCAAGTGAGCCCCAGCATGGAGCAATGGCGAGTTGGTGGACCTCATCAGTGTTTGAGGGAGGAAGCTGTACAGTCCCAGCTATGCTCCAGCCGTAGGAATTACGATACCTTTGGGAAGGTATCAAAGAACATGATGGAAAGGGGCCAGGACCGGGACGCCCTGCAGTACAGGATTAAAGTGAAGGAGCTGCGGAGTGCCTACCGCAAAGCCCGCGAAACAGCCGCTCGGGTGCTCCCCCCGCGACCTGCCGATTCTACAAAGAGCTGGATGCGATACTTGGGGTTAACCCCACCTCCACTCCGAGCACCACCCTGAACACTTCAGAGCCGGTGTGGGGGCGGGGGGAGGAGGAAGAGGAGGAGGAGGAGGAGGAAAACGGGAGTGATGGTGGTGGGCCGGATGGAGACACCCCGGAATCCCTTGAGCCATGCAGCCAGGAGCTCTTCTCAAGCCAGGAGGAAGGTAGCCAGTCGCAGCAGCCGGTACTTGGTGGAGGACAAACAGAAGAGCAGGTTCCCGGTAAGCGGGTTTTTTTTTTTAGGGAAGGAATTTTTTCGGTGCGGGCTCTTTGGGAGAGGAGAGTTAGGCATGCATGCCTAGATGCGGAATAGTGCATTGATGTGGTTTATCACATCGCGGTAATCGGCCTCGGTAATCTCCTCGAATGTCTCATCCAGAACGTGTGCAATGCGCTTGTGCGGGTTTATCGGGAGAGCCACCGTGGTCCTTGTCCCAGCCAGGCTAACGTGTCCGCGCCACTATGCCGTGAGAGGCGGGGGGACCATTGCTGCACACAGGCAAGCTGCATATGGGCCAGGGCGGAAGCCGCATTGCAGTAGAAGACCCTCCCTTGCTTCCCAGGTCACCCTCAGCAGCGAGATATCGTCCAGGACGAACTCCTGTGGAAAATGTTGGGACAGTGTTCAGTGTAGGTGCCCCCTGAAGCTGTTGGCTCTCCCCAAGGCACAGAAACCCAGAGGACAGTGCAGCCCTGAAACAATCAGTCCCCCTTACTCACCATTTTGAGGCTCCCGTGGGATATGTGTGCTCTGTTTCGGACGGGAAAATTATGCTATTGTGTAGACCCTGTGTGTTTTCTACTCCTTAAGTGCGGGGGGAATCATTACTCTGTCTGGTATAAACAATGCTGCCTCTGTTAAATGTTGCATTTTGCCTATTCAGCTGCATCAACCTTGACACCTCAGCCGTCCCTCTTATCGCCTGCTCAGAGACTGCAAAGACTCAGGAAGAGACCGCGAAAAAGCAAAGAAGACATACTGCAAGAAGTGATGCGGCAATCTATTAAAGAGAATGAGAAAGCACAGAACTGGAGGGAGAGAGAAAGCAGGATCCACCAGGAAAACGCAGCGCACCGGCGGCAAAGCACTGCGCACTGGCAGCAAAGCACTGATAGGCTCATAAGCATCCTGGAGCACCAAGCAGACGCTATCCAGGAGCTGGTAGCCATGCAGAAAGAGGAGCAGTACCGCAAACGCAAACGCCACCCCCCCTACAGCCCTTGTCCCAAAACTCTTTCCGTTGTGCCCCACTGTCACCTCCAACCCACTTTCCCCAACTTCCGTGTTCTTCATGCCACCCACTGCCTCCAACACCAGTATCTTTACCACCCAGCCCTGAAAACCATGACCCTTACCCTCTGCACTCAACCCCCATCACCATGCAGTATAGCTGTCCTGAAGTGCAGCACTCACTGCACAGCACACCAGACAGGACATACACGAATCTGTGAATCTGGAGTTCCCCACTCCACCCCCTTGTTTCTTTTCAATAAATAATTTTTTTTTCTTTGCAATAAATGGATTCTTTGGCTTTGAAAACATTCTTTATTATTGCATGAAGTAAAAGACTTCTTAGCCCAGGAAATAAACAGGCACTGCAAGTCAGCTTAGCAGACACTGATTCCTAAAGATTGGAACTACTGCACTTTACTCCTGTGCAGGGCACCAGATATCACTGCTGGTTTTCAGCCTCAAATTGCTCCCTCAAGGCATCCCTAATCCTTGCAGCCCTGCGCTGGGCCCCTGTAATAGCCCTGCTCTCTGGCTGTGCAAATTCAGCTTCCAGGTGTTGAACCTCGGAGGTCCATGCCTGAGTGAAGCTTTCACCCTTCCCTTCACAAATATTATGGAAGGCACAGCACGTGGATATAACCGCGGGGATGCTGTTTTCGGCCAAGTCCAGCTTCCCATACAGAGATCGCCAGCGGCCCTTTAAACAGCCAAAGGCACACTCCACAGTCATTCGGCACCGGCTCAGCCTGTAGTTGAACCATTCCTTGCTGCTGTCAAGGCTCCCTGTGTAGGGTTTCATGAGCCACGGCATTAACGGGTAAGCGGGATCTCCAAGGGTCACAATGGGCATTTCAACTTCCCCTACCGTGATCTTCCGCTCTGGGAAAAAAGTCCCGGCCTGCATCTTCCTGAACAGCCAAGTGTTCCAAAAGATGCGTGCGTCATGCACCTTTCCGGGCCAACCTGTGTTAATGTCAATGAAACGCCCACAGTGATCCACAAGCGCCTGGAGAACCATAGAGAAATACCCCTTCCGATTAACGTACTCGGATCCTAGGTGAGGTGGTGCCAGAATAGGAATGTGCGTCCCATCTATCGCCCCTCCACAGTTAGGGAACCCCATTTGTGCAAAGCCATCCACTATTTCCTGCACATTACCCAGAGTCACGGTTCTTCTGAGTAGGATGCGATTAATGGCCTTGCAAACTTGCATCAACACGATTCCAACGGTCGACTTTCCCACTCCAAACTGGTTTGCGACCGACCGGTAGCTGTCTGGAGTTGCCAGCTTCCAGATTGCAATAGCCACCCGTTTCTCCACTGGCAGGGCAGCTCTCAATCTCGTGTCCTTGCGCCGCAGGATGGGGGCAAGCTCCTCACACAGTCCCATGAAAGTGGCTTTTCTCATCCGAAAGTTCTGCAGCCACTGCTCATCATCCCAGACTTCCATGACGATGTGATCCCACCACTCGGTGCTTGTTTCCCGAGCCCAAAAGCGGCGTTCCACGGTGCTGAGCATGTCCGTGAATGCCACAAGCAATTTCATGTCGTATGCGTTACGCGGCTCGATAGCATCGTCGGACTCCTCACCCTCACTCTCACTTTGGATCTTAAGGAATAGTTCGACAGCCAAACGTGATGTGCTGGCGAGACTCATCAGCATACGCCTCAGCAGTTCGGACTCCATTTCCCGCAGACAGATCGCGCTGCACAGAAACCGTTGAAAGATGGCGCCAAAGGTGGACGGAAACAAAGGGATTTCTGGGATGTGAAGCGATGCATCACAGGGCATTGGGACAGGACCCAGAATCCCCTGCACTCACGCCCACAACGCCAGAATGGTAAAAGGTGCTCTGTGGGATAGCTGCCCATAATGCACCGCTCCCAATAGCGCTGCATAGGGTGACCAGATGTCCCGATTTTATAGGGACAGTCCCGATTTTTGGGTCTTTTTCTTATATAGGCTCCTATTACCCCCCCATACTCTGTCCCGATTTTTCACACTTGCAGTCTGGTCACCCTAGTGCTGCAATTGCCGCAAATGTGGCCACAACAGTGCGCTGGGCAGCTGTCAGTGTGGACAGACTGCAGCGCTTTCCCTACTCAGCTGCACGAAGTCAGGTTTAACTCACAGCGCTGTACATTTGCAAGTGTAGCCAAGGCTTTAGACAATTTGACATGGTTGTACTATAATCAACCCCCTAGTATTTTTTTTTTGGCCAGGTGATGTCGCCACTGGTTAAGGATCCAGTGGCAGATCAGTCTTCTGTTCCGTTTTCTCATTCTAACTCCAGCTTTCTAGTTTAGAAGTTAGTATATATGTACACGAGTCAATTATTAAAATATTAGAGAAAAAACTGGTTTGTGTATATTTCAAATAGAATCAGTCATCCCTACAAGTAAGCAGATTTGACTACCTGCAGTTCCTGCAGGCATCCGGGAGCTGGTCCTGCAATGTGTCGCATAGGGGCAGACCCCCACCTGCGATCGCACAGTTTCATTGTGAAGTCCGGGCGGGGGGGGGGGGGGGTTATGCGGAGATGGAGGTTGGCTTTACAGGCTTAGTAGCCAGTTAGGGCTACACTGAGGCCCTTAGTTAATGCCTAGCAGCACAGCTGTGACACAGGGCAGGGCCAGGCCCTTCGGCTGCACCAGCCCAACGCCCCTCGCCTGCGGGCCCCCCTGGCACCGGTACTGACACCCGCCGCCATGGCAGCAGCCGCAGCGAACAGGGCGGGGCCCCCGCGCGCACGGCCCCGGCTGGGACAGTTCGGAGTGACGGACACCCCGGCTCCTTCCTCCCCAACAGCAGCCAGGCAAAGACTAGTTGTGCGCCTGCGCACGGATGTGACACACACTCTCCGCCGCTTTTCTGTGCTTTCTGCGCACGCGGCACCTTGTCGCGCACGCGCCTTAGGCTCGGGGAAGCTGGCAGGCCCCAGGAAAGGCCTGACCCTGACCATGGCGGCAGAGGCTGGGGCCCTGCCCGCCGAGGAGCGCGTGGGGCAGGTGGTGCTGCCGGGGGACGTGCTGCTGCTGCCCTCGCACCCCGAGGCGGATGGGGAGCGGCTGTGGCTGGGCCCGGGCGCCGCTCTGCCGGGCCGCTTGGTGTGCGGGCCGGGCCTGAGGAGCTGCGGGGCCGGGCTGCTGGTCACCAAGTGCGGGCTGCTGCGCCACCGCCAGCCGGGCGGGGCCGGAGGCGGCTCGGGCGGGGCCTACTGGGTGGACTCCCAGCAGAAGCGGGTGAGAGCGCTGGAGCTGGCGGGGGCGGGCCCAAGGGCTGAGGGGCGGGCGGCGCTGCAGAGCGGGGGGGTGGGCGCTGTGGGTGCCTTTCCCCCGGTGGGCTCCGTGTGGCTCTGCGCACAGAGCGCCTTGGCTGAGGCCTGGTGAGCTTGCTCTGAAGCTCGGCCTTGCTGGGACGGTCCCTCTTTTCCTTCCCCTCGCCCCACTTTCTCACTCTCCAGGAGCTGCACCTCGCTTCCTCTTTAAAGCTCGCTGTGGCACCCTTCATTCAGAGCCTCAAAGTCGCAGAACCGGAGTGGAAACCCCTTCCATTGCTTTTCTTGGGAATTGCGGGGCTGCAGGCAACATCTGGTGTCCACTTAGTCCCCGTCCACACACAAATTACTACTATACTGTGCCACTTGTCAATGGCGTGATTGACTATAATCTGTTTACGATGCTGCTAATAATCCCCGATTTGAAGCCTAGTGTGACACAGGGATCAGTCCTTGTAAGGAGTTATGCATGCTATTACTTTGTTGCGTGGGGGTCACCCACAACTGTGTTCTTGTAGTAACTAATCCTACCATAACACTGTACAGTTGTTGAATTGTACATCCAACGGTGTACATAAATTGCTGTTCAATTCCAGGGCCTCATAAGTACCAGGCTTTGGGCATTAATTTACCACTGATGTGGTTTCTCTAGTGGTAGCAAAAGTGGGAGTGCTACTGTATACAGGGTTTTTCTGCCCTTTGCTGCGTTCAACAAACCAGCTAGTTATGTTCTTTATTGGGTTGAGTGTTGCAACTGGTAGCTGAGAAAGCTAGAGGTATCACTGGTAAAAATACACTGCTGCTGGTAACAATGGGAGATTTTTTTCCTCTTTGTGCCAAAAGTGTGGGAATCCTCCTCAGCATCTAAGCTTACTCACAAGGCTTAACTGTAACCTCATCTGGAAAAAAGCGGGCTGAAGAGGTACTAAAATAACCACACTTGGTGCAGGCTGCAGCAACTGATGGGATGCTATGGGATAGCTGGCCAAAATTTCTCACAATAAACTTCTGTTAGGCAGAGTTGCTAATTACAGAAATAGAAACATGGCCCTAATGACTGAAAAGTTGCTGTGTGGCGGCAAACTGTTATTGGTGAAGCTGACGGTGACCCTAATTGGTTGCAAACTCTCAGTTCTAGCGGTAATGTGGATAAGGGTCCTCCTAAAAGAGAAACCATCCGAACGTAGACCAGTGTAATGTTTTTGCTCATTCTGCTGCCATTCTGAAACAGTATCGTTGTGATGTGTAAATTGTTGTAGTAACCTTATTGGAGAGTTAATGCTGAAAATTAATGAAGATTTAAATTGCACTACTGATTATTTCGCTAGCCATCATGTTAACAGAAATTTGTAGATACAATAGAAGTTAAAAATGAAGACCATTACTTCTCATCTATCCAGTTACTGTAGGGTTAGGGTTGTTCGTTATAGGATCATTACCAATGTCTTGTCCAATTGTAAATGTCCTTTGTGAATTTCCTGTCACTTCCTCTTAGAGAGACACACAGTCAGGATGTCTTTTCCGCACTTTTTTTTGCAGTCCTAATTTTATACTATTACTCTAAGGCAGGGGTCAGCAACCTACGGCACACAAGCCGATTTTGAGTGGCACGCTGCCTGCCTGGTGAGAGGAGGAGGAGAGGAGGGGCAGGCAGGCCCCCAGCCCCACTCAGCCCCCCCGCCTACCGCTCTCCCCTGCGGGGGCAGGAGGCAGAAGCTTGGTCCTGCGGCAGCCAAGCTTCCCCCGTCCCCTGCTTCTCCCCCCAGCCTGGTGTTTTCCTGCCTCTCCTCCTTCCCCTCCCTGCCGCCGATCAGCAGATGGCCCTTGCGAGGGGGAGGGGGAGCGGAGCAGAGCCGAGCGTCAGCGTGCTCGCTGCTCTGTAGAGCAGGCAGAGAAGAGGTAGGGACGGGGCCTTGGGGAAGGGGGTGGAACAGGGCATATCCCTTCCAGCCCCCTGCCTTGAGCTGCTCAGGGCAGGGGGCTGGGAGCACCCCCACGAGCCGAGCGCCCCAGCCCCCTGCCCCGACCCCCCCCCCCCCCCCAGCCTTCTGCCCTGCACCCCCACTCACCCCCAGCCCTCTGCCCTGACCCCTGAACCCCCCCCAGGTCTGGTGTCCCGGCTGCTGGCCCCTTGCCAGCTGGTGTCCCGCTGCAGGCCCCGCTCAGCCCGCTGCAGGCCTAGGTGAACAGAACCCCAGGCTGGAAGCGGGCTGAGCAGGCTGGCGGTGTAAGATCAGCATTTTAATTTAATTGAAGCTTCTTAAACATTTTGAAAACCTTGTTTACTTTACATACAACAATAGTTTAGTTATATAATATAGACTTATAGAGAGAGATCTTCTAAAAACGTTAAAATGTATTACTGGCACGCAAAACCGTAAATTAAAGTGAATAAATGAAGACTCGGCACACCACTTCTGAAAGGTTGCCTACCCCTGCTCTAATGGCTTGTCTTCACTGTAGCTGTTAGCTCTCATTAGTTTGCTCATTACTGTACTCAAAGCTAGGTTAGTTCCAGTGAGAGTGACCACCACACTAGAAAACAACACTGGAGTTACACAGAATAATTGGATTTGCTACTGATGAGACTCTTGTAATTTGAGCTGTTGCATTCACACAGCATTACTAGATTCAGCATCACTCAAGCGTCAACCCACTCACTCCCTCAACGGGCCAGCTAGCTTGAGTTTAAAGCAACAATTAACTTGAGCTAGAGATTTTATGTGGATGGACGTCAAGTTAGGTAACACTTACCCTAAAGGTGTGTCTTCACAGCAGTTAGGTCATGTCTACACTACTGCTGGGAGTGTGCTTCCCAGTGCAGGTAGATAGGTGTGCTAGCTCAAGCTAGTCCACTAAAAATAAGTGCGGCAGCCGCTAGTCTCCTGAGTACATACCCACAGTGTCTGATATTATTGTATTCGGGTGGCTAGCCTGTGCCACCCTGGCCGCACTGCTATTTTTAGCATGCTAGTTCAAGCAGAGCTAGTGTATGTGCTCGCACTGGGAAGCATGCTTCTAGCTGCACTGTTTTTACCCTTATTTATAAAGACTGTGAAGCCCTAATCTTGCAAACGCACATGCTTAACTTTTATGAATAATTCTGTTGAAGTAAATCTAAGTATTTTCAGTGGGGTCTGTGCCTTCTAAAAATAGAAGTTCATTTTGATACTGTGTCAAGATTTTTTTTCAGCAACTTTTATTTTGGAAATAAGTTTGGGCACTCAGCTTCTTTGTACACGGTGCTTGTGTGTGTATGGATGTGTATATACATGTAAAAAGATATATTTATTTCTTGTACATGTCTTTGTTTTAATTTTCAGTATGTCCCAGTCAAGGGAGATCATGTGATAGGCATAGTGACTATCAAGGCAGGTGACATATTCAAAGTGGATGTTGGTGGAAGTGAGCAAGCTTCTTTGTCCTACTTGGCATTTGAAGGTGCAACCAAAAGAAACAGACCAAATGTGCAGGTAATGTTCTTGTTATATATATTGGCAGTATTGAAGCCTTTAAAGTATTATATTTTCACTTCCTTGCAAAGTGACAATTTAAAATATACTCAAAAATATTTGCCTGTATCCCTTAGTTATAAGATGTTCTGATATGTGATAGATTTTCCATGACATGTACAAACTTCTTTCTGTAGTGGCTTTGTTTCCTTCCCTTTCTCCTAGGCCTTTATGTTGGGCTATGGCAGAGGAAGTCAGTTACAGATCATGGATTTTCTTCTTTTGATCACTGACTGTCACAGCAGTAGGTGCCAGGCTTTGCCATTTGTTGTACAGAGGATGTAATTGTACCTTCTCAGATATCACCGGCAGAAGATGGCAGTTCTGTGGTGGAATAGCCCTTCAAAGAGAGTCAGAAATCAATTTAGGCCAGGGGTCTCAAACTCAAATGACCACGAGGGCCACATGAGGACTAGTACATTGGCCCAAGGGCCGCATTTACTGACACCTCCCCCCTGCCGCCCTCGGCCCCACCCCCACTCCACCCCTTGCATGAAGCCCCGCCTCTTCCCACCCCTTCCCTGCCCCCATTCCAACCCCTTCTCCGAAATCCCCACCTCAACTCCGCCCCCTCCCTGCTCTCAGGGGATGTAGGAGGGGTGTGGCGGGGGCTCAGAGCAGGGAGTTGGGGTGCAGGAGGGGTGTGGTGTGGGGTTCAGGGCAGGGGTGCGGGGTGCAGCAGGGGACTCAGGGCAGGGGGTCAGGGCGCAGGAGGGGTGCGGCAGGGGACTCAGGGCAGGGGGTTGGGGTGCAGGAGGCATGTGGGGGTGCAGCTGGGGGCTCAGGGCAGGGGGTTGGGGTGCAGGAGGGGTGCGGGATGCAGCAGGGGACTCAGGGCAGGGGGTTGGGGTGTGGTAGGGGTTGGGGTGCGGCAGGGGTTTCAGGGCAGGGGGGTTGGGGTGCAGGAGGGGCAGGGGGTTCGGCTGCAGGGGGGGTTCGGGGGGCGGGCTCCGGCCCGACGTGCACCGGGGCAGGCTCCCTGCCTGCCCTGCCCCCCGCGCCGCTCCGGGAAGCGGACGGAACCTGGGGAAGGAGGGGCACAGGGGCGTGTGTGGCTGTTGCTTCAGGCACTGCGCCCAGCAGCGGCCATTGGCCAGGAATGGGGAACCGCGGCCAATGGGAGCTGCTGAGGGCGGTGCCTGAAGCAACAGCCACACACGCCCCTGCGCCCCTCCTTCCCCAGGTTTCGGCCGCTTCCCGGAGCGGCGCGGGGGCAGGGCTGGCAGGCAGGGAGCCTGCCCCGGTGCACGTCGGGCCGGAGCCCGCCCCCCTGCAGCCGAACTCCCTGCCCTGAAACCCCTGCTGCACCCCTCCTGCACCCCGACCCCCTGCCCTGAGCCCCCTGTCGCACCCCTCACCCCTCCTGCACCCCACACCGCAACTCCCTGCCCTGAGCCCCTGCCACACCCCTCCTACATCCCCTGGGAGCAGGGAGAGGGCGGAGTTGGGGTGGGGATTTCGGGGAAGGGGTTGGAAGAGGCGGGGCAGGGGCAGGGCCTCATGGAAGGGGTGGAGTGGGGGCGGGGCCGAGGGCGGCGGCGGGTGGGAGGTGTCAGTAAATGCGGCCCTCGGACCAATGTACTAGTCCTCATGTGGCCCTTGTGCAGGTCGGTCCGGAGCCGCTCTAGGTAAACGCTGGGGGATGGCAGGGGGGCTGTAAGAAGCTCATGGGACGCAGAAAATAACCCTGTGTGCCGCCGCGTGTTTGAGACCCCTAGTTTAGGCCTAAAATTCACATTTTATAAAACAGGCTCTTATGAAATGTGACTGTCACGCTGTCTGGAGAAGGTCCCGACTGTGTGTTCCTATCTCAGGGCAGACTTTAAAACAGTGTAGACTCCCTCCCTTCCCCTCCCCTCCCAACCTGGTGATATGTTCTATAATTAGATTTCACCAAGCCAGTAACAAATGTAAACTCCTGGATCACTGCAACAGTCTTACCAGGGAATCACAGACACTCCCCTTAGACTCTCCAGTCTATCTTGCCACCCAGATAAGCTGGACTAATGGTCACTTACACCAAAAGTCACTCCATGTTCAGATTGCTTTGTTGCTTTCAGTCTAAGAGACATTTATCCCAGATAATTTGGTACCCAAGATCTTATACCAAAGACAATGCCTGTAGCCAGTCCTGTAATAAACTATCTAAAGATTTGTTAACTAGGAAAAAGCAATAAGAGAGTTACTTACAGGTTAAAGCAAGTAAGTGTGTACATATAAATTAGTTATAACCTAAATCCTAAGAGCATGAGAGCTGTAATGATCTGTCAATTCAAAGTCTCCTTCAGGGCAGACCCAGGGGTAACCCCTGGGGATCTCTGCCTCAGCTTAGACTCTCTGGCCCTGTCAGAGTTCAAACAGCAAAGAGGGAGACAGAACATTTTCCTGAGACTTTATTTCCTTCATTCAGCTTCCAAGTCCACATGATGAGCTTCCTTGCACATAGCTTTTCCAAGATGGGATAGGGCCATTAACTAATCCATTGTATCTCAATGTTCCTTGATGGCCCATCTGATTTTGATAGCCCTACTGGGTGGGGGGTGAGGGAATGATTCCAGTGCCTGGGTTCAGAAGTTCGGTGCAAACATTTTCAAAGTTATAAAGAAAAATGTAGATATTTTCTTATAGCATAGAACAGGGGTTCTCAAACTTCATTGCACCGTGACCCCCTTCTGACAACAAAAATTACTACATGACCCCAGCAGGGGGACCGAAGCCTGAGCCATAGGCGCTGACTCCGTGGGTGCTCTGGGGCTGGAGCATCCACAGGGAAAAATTAGTGGGTGCTCTGCACCCACCAGCAGCCAAGAACCTAGGGACGAGTTTAACAAAAAAGATATACAGACATGATACAGTTTCTCTGAACATTTCCTATCACTTGTTTTAGGTGGGAGATCTTATTTATGGTCAATTCGTTGTAGCCAATAAAGACATGGAACCAGAGATGGTCTGTATAGACAGCAGTGGAAGAGCGAATGGAATGGGAGTAATTGGACACGAAGGCCTGTTGTTTAAGGTTTCTTTAGGTCTAATAAGAAAGTAAGTATTACAATTTTTAACTTCCCAGGAATGAGAGAGAAGCTGAATTTTGTCAATTTTTTGAGCTGTGACAGATGAGTGAAACTCTTTATCTTGATGGAAACTGGTATGCACCCTAATATTTAATGCTGTAGCATTGGATGTCCATAACCAGCAGGTCTGAGCATTATGACAAGTGGAGTAACAGATGTGTATTATGTTGTTCTTAGGGCATGTATTGTCAACGTTATTGCCTGACAAAGTTATTTGATCTTTGTGATCCTAAATTTGTAATCTGCATACAAATATAATATAGTATAAAGAAAGGGGAAATGAATGATAAAATACAATAAGTAGAAACCAACAGATGTCACAAGACTAAAAATGCTCCTCTACTCTAACCATATTCTACTGTAGACTTTACCTTTTAACTTTAATAGGTGGTAGTGTATTGAAGTGGAATTTCTTTTCTACTTGATCTTGTTGCTACATTATTTAGAAAATATTGTGAACCCAATCCATCAGAAACTTGCTTTTGTCACCTATGGAGGCTAATCATAAATTTGCTATGAACATATTCAGTCTTCAATGGTAGAGTAGAATCTGTATATAGCAACTGGTCTGAGAATGACATCAATTCCTTGAACAGTCTTCACACAGCCTTCAGTGGCATTCTCAAGCATCCTTAGAAATCTGTCTTCCAAAGAGAACCAAGAAAAGGACTGTGAAGAAACAAACAAAAAATCAGTTTCCTCCCTCCAAACTCTGTGTAGGGGATGAGGGAAGGGAGGGGCAATAGCAAAAAACACCCTCTGTTTAAAGATTTTTAATTAGCACCTCTTTCACATACAGTCTGGATGAGCTGTTTCAGGTTAGAATAAATCCTATTAACTGCTCAGTCACAAATGAGGAGCTAAAAATCAACTTAATTAAATCTGGTTCACAAACACTAGACTGTCTTCATTATGATTGTTGCACAGTGTCACTGCAGGGTGATTTTTGGATTTTTTTAAAATTTAATCTTAACTCTTAATTTCGTCTTGGCTTTGGAATTTTTTTAAATTAAACTCATACATGAGCACTAAACAAGAAATTCAAAATATTACTATGTTTTATATAGTTTGAATCCATGCTTTCAACTCAACTCAGCCTTAACCATTGAAGTTGCTACACATTCCTTCATACTACTGGTGGTATTAGCAGTGGTCCTGTTATTGACTAGCAACACTGAAATGTATTTGTTACACAATAATTTCTTCTTCTGACATCCTTTTTACTTTGTTTTCAGGCTTTTAGCTCCCAATTGTGAAATCATTCAGGAATTGGGACAACTGTACCCTTTTGAGATAGTGTTTGGAATGAATGGAAGAATATGGGTAAAGGCAAAAACAATTCAACAGACTTTAATTGTGGCAAATATCTTGGAAGCCTGTGAGCACATGACAGCAGAACAAAGAACACAAGCATTTGCCAAACTATCAGAGAGATGATATAAAGAAAACATCTTGGGTTCATTTCAGGCTTTGCAATTATTGTAATATTTTTGTATTCAGATGTATATTAATAACTCATTTTGAAACTTTGCGTCTCTCCTATTTAATTTTTTTTACCCACCAGTCCCTCTTTCCCGATCCCTCAGTCTGTTTAGTCTTCCGCATTCAAGCATTCTCTTCACTTTCTTAGCAGCAGTGTTTACATCTATTTGTTTCATAATAATCAATCTTTTAAAGTCTCTCACAATAAAGAGTTGTTGCAGAGCACACTGATTTTTGCAACACAGAATTCAGTAGTAACACTAATTCTTCCATCAAATGAGAGCAGAAATCTCAGTTGATCACCTACACGCATTTGGTGTTATTTCCACCAAGAGGTTCTGTATATTGCTTTCTTTGCTGGTTCTTCAAGCTCATCAGTGTTTTAAGCCTTAATATATTAACTTTCAAGGAGCCTATTCTTCTGCCTGCCTTAACAAAAGATCCGGATGGGACAGGCCAAATGCTAAAATAGAAGGTGAGGAAGACATGAGGACGGAAGTTCATGTTTATTTAATAAGCTACGTGGGAGGTAAGGCACTAGAAATGACATACTGAACAAAAAACAGTTGATCCAGAATTACATGATGGTTCAAACAGCCTTTAAAGAAAAAGCCAAGCAAATTACTCCATACTCCTAGAAATATATGGCTAGCAATAGTTAAGCGAAAAGATTAGTGTAAAATACATCAACTTATGCCACAGTAATTAGTAAGTGTCCAAAATTGATGCGATTATAGTGCTACATACCCGCCCTCCCAATGGGGAACACTTTATGCCCTGAGGCATATTTGATTACCATTATCTTAGCATACACAGCTGCAAATGTTGGCTATAAAATTATTCAGCTCTATTTGAATTCTTTCCACAGGTATGACTCAATCTTCTGTGGAAGTAAATTCCACAGGTTGGATATACCAGTGCTGTGTGAAGTATTTGTTTTAAACTTACTGGCCACTGAGTGAGTGACTGTCTTGTTATCAGACTGCATAACTAAAGGACCATCAGTTTTCATTACAACCTGCTGTTGTCTCTTGTCTTGCACTTAAAGTGTATGTTCTCTGGAGCAGGAATGGTCTTTTTGTTCTGTTTGTATAGTGCCTGGCACAATGAAGTCATTGTCCCTAATTGGGGCTGCTGAGCATTAAGATAATACTACTAATAATGTTAAATACCCCTGAATAACTCATGGGGGGACATCACTTCAGGACCTTTCTCGGACTCTTCTACAATTGTCCATCATCCTGCAAGTTTGTGTTAGCTAAAGCTTACTAATTCACAGTCATTGGTTCCATTGCATACCAATCTGGCGGTGTATAAGCCTTAGTCATTTTTATCCTACAATAATATGTTCAGAAGCATGCTGAGTCAGTCATGCTGCATACATGAATCCCTCTCTGGCTTCCAAAAGATAGGGATTTGGAAAACACCCTTCTTCAGCTCTTGACAATGGGGTTTTAACCATTGCCTTTCAATCCTGGTTGAGAGATGAGACCTACTCCATTCTTTCACATGATTGTGAGGGGATCTCAGTGGATTCTTTGCCTGGCATCTTGTTGAAAGAGTGAAGATATCCTAGAAAGTCATCCTCTATCTTTTCATGAGTGAGATATGGTTCTTGCTGGCACTTCCTGCTGACCCACCACAGAGGTGGAATTGATGCCAAAACACCAAAATATTTGGGCTGAGCATGGCAAGTGGTGCTTATCTCCTTCTCTCCCTGACTGTTCTTGGAGGGAGCAGAAGAGTGACCTTTTCAGCCAGCGCTGAGGCAGAAGGCTCTGAGGCATAATTTTCTATTCCCATACCAAAGGTGATGGATTCTTTGGAGCCCAGTGCTCAGACTTCCTAAATTTGGAAGCCTCCCTCCAAACAAAGGACCTGGATTCTGCCATTTTGTGCTGTTTGCATGCTTGCCTGCTGGCTTTCCTGCTGTGATTTTAAAAAAGATTAAATAATTTTTTATCAGCTTCTTTAAGCACTTTCTCCAAAGCATGATATGTAATAGCAGGACTAATCAAGAAATGGAAATATGTTAATATAACATGAAAGGCCTCGGGATGCTGTACACTCATTACAGGTTTCTATCATAACACTGGGAGTGTTGTCCTTTTAGCATAGATGATGGGTATCTGTTGTTACAAATCTTAGTGATGAGCTATGTAAGGGCATGTTAGGGAAAAATTAGGCAAGTGATACATGGAAAGTTTTCAGAAAAACATTCTTCAAATGCAGTCAAGCATGCTGCTGTGTCAACAGATTATGCAGAACAAAGGAAAATAAGGCAGGCTGTGTTTTCTTTTTATTAGCATTATTAAAAGATCTGACAGCAAAAATACTGTTTGTTCTTTAATGTTGGTATCTACCTGGTCTGTGCAGTGTTTTCTCGGCACATTTAATTCAAAATAGTTATTAACACAATTTTTAATGAAAGAATCTATTGAGGGGTTGTATTGGAAAACGAAACTATCACTGATCACAAGGAGCCTCCTTCACTGAGATAATGAAGACAGCAGGAGTGCAGTTAAAAATATGTATTTTTTTTTTAAAGTTAACTTGTTTTCCAGGTAGCTTTCCTGCAGTGATCTAGATGCCTTTCTACCATCATATGGGAAATAAGGCAGTAGCAGCCCAAAGAGGGCCAAAATAACTGCTAGAATAAGATGGTGAAATTCCTCTAACTACAGAGCAGCTGAACCCTTTCTCCAGTGGCGAGTGTGGCCTTGAGCCTTTGTGATAAGGGGGTCTGTTAGCCATGCCGTCTCCAGTCCTTTGGCTCTACCATTTTAATTATGCTACTGGGCCCTTTTTATTCTGGATCTACCACTGAACTAATAGTATGAAGTTTTCCCTTTGCAGTGTAAAATGAAGAAAACTGCCTTGCTTATACTCAAAATATATTGGCTCTTTTTTTTTTTTTTTTGCTGGTGTAAGTCCCATGAACTCAATTAAGTTACACCAGGGACTAATTTTGTTTAATTTATGCCCCACCTCTCTGCAAAAATGTCAAAGTTTAATTAGGAAATATGTGATAAGCTCTGAATAACAATGGATTTCTACAGTAAGTAAAACTAAGAGGACAAAAAAGCTGAAAAGAGATGTTCCTTGCTTCTGAGCAATAAAACTATCAACCTGATCTGAAGGGCTTAACTCTTTAGTAACCAGTCTTGTAACTTTTGTAGTCTCCAGATACGGAATTCTAATACAAAAAGGTCTGTCTTGGTTTCTTTTGTTGCCTTCCCAAGGCACCATAATTTAATGATTAAAATGAAGGTTGCAGCTAACTTTTGTAGTCTCCAGATACGGAATTCTAATACAAAAAGGTCTGTCTTGGTTTCTTTTGTTGCCTTCCCAAGGCACCATAATTTAATGATTAAAATGAAGGTTGCAGCTTCAGGAGCCCAGGGGTTCTGCCTTTTGACAAACAGCAGGGCCAGCTTCTTGTAATGTTCTACTATGATGGTTCTCAGGGTACCCAGGAGTGAGAGTCGCTTGTTGCTGCCCTGCCTCTAGGAGGAGGGAGACTTGTTTGTGCTTAATTAGGGCCTGGTCTACACTATGACTTTAATTCGGATTTAGCAGCGTTAAATTGAATTAACCCTGCACCAGTCCACACAACGAAGCCATTTATTTCGAAATAAAGGGCTCTTAAAATCGATTTCTGTACTCCACCCCGACGAGCAGAGTAGCGCCAAAATCGATATTGTCATTTTGAATTAGGGTTAGTGTGGCCGCAATTCGATGGTATTGGCCTCCGGGAGCTATCCCACAGTGCACCATTGTGACCGCTCTGGACAGCAATCTGCACTCGGATGCACTGGCCAGGTAGACAGGGAAAGCCCCGCGAACATTTGAATTTTATTTCCTGTTTGCCCAGCGTGGAGAGCACAGGTGACCAGAGAGAGCTCATCAGCACAGGTAACCATGCAGGCCGAAAAAGAGCACCAGCATGGACCGTACGTGAGGTACTGGATCTGATCGTTATATGGGGAGAGGATTCAGTGCTAGCAGAACTTCGTTCGAAAAGACGAAATGCCAAAACTTTTGAAAAAAATCTCCAAAGGGCATGATGGAGAGAGGCCACAATAGGGACTCAGATCAGTGCCGCGTGAAAGTCAAGGAGCTCAGACAAGCCTATCAAAAAACGAAGGAGGCAAACGGTCGCTCCGGGTCAGAGCCGCGGACATGCCGCTTCTATGCCGAGCTGCATGCAGTTCTAGGGGGGGCCGCCACCACTACCCCACCTCTGACCTTGGATTCCGAGGCAGGGGTAATCTCATCAGCTATACCTGAGGATTCTGCGAACGGGGAAGAGGAGGAGGAGGAGGAGGAGGATGAGCTTGCGGAGAGCACACAGCACTCCATTCTCCCCAACAGCCAGGATCTTTTTCTCAGCCCGACTGAAGTACCCTCCTAACCCAGTATCCAAGACCATGACCCAATGGAAGGGACCTCGGGTGAGCTTACCTTTTAAAATATAAAACTTGTTTTAAAAGCAAGCGTTTTTTAATGATTACTTTGCCCTGAGGACTTGGGATGCATTCGCAGCCAGTACAGCTACTGGAAAAGTCTATTAACATGTCTGGGGATGGAGCGGAAATCCTCCAGGGACATCTCCATGAAGCTCTCCTGGAGGTACTCCAAAAGCCTTGCCACAAGTGCCCTTACGCATGCGAAAGTTTCGCAGCCACTCGTAATTGTCCCACACCTGCAACACTATGCGGTCCCACCAGTCTGTACTTGTTTCCCGGGCCCAGAATCGGCGTTCCACGGCTATAACCTGCCCCATTAACAGCATGATCTCCAAAGCACCGGGGCCCGCGGTTTGATAGAATTCCATGTCCATGTCCTCATCACTCTCGTCGCTGCCGTAGCCTACTCCTCGCCGCCTGGTTTTGCAGGTTCTGGTTCAGCATAAACTGCACGATAACACGCGAGGGGTTTACAGTGTTCATGACTGCTGTCTTGAGCTGAGCAGGCTCCATGCTTGCCGTGGTATGGCATCTGCACTGTTCACCCAGGAAAAAGGCGCGAAACGGTTGTGTGCCGTT